AAAATTGCAGCTGTATAACTCTTATTCCTTAAATACTGTCTAACTTGTTTTGATGGACTCAGCAAATGCGGTTTTTGCCCCTTTACTAATCGCAGCAATTACAGCAAATAGAAGAGAATCCTGTGGTACTGCAGATTTCCTCCATGTTATTAATGTGATGTGTGCACATTGCTATAATTACAGCCATAGGCAGCATATTGACATATGAAAGGACTACAGTTTGCATGTAATTTGTGTAGAATTTCAATATATAAAGCATCTTTGCCAATGAATTAATGCCAGAGTGCTGTAATAAAAATGTCAGTGCTTTTCAGTCTATTCAGCTTCATTGGCCTCACATGTCAGTCCTAACAATATCACATATAATAAGATTGCCAATGAATTAGAATAAATGAATGCTATTGAAACTATCTGAGTTACATATATTAACAGAGACATATATATTAATATCTGTCTCTGGAACAAGCCTTGTATCAGTTCAGGATTGTGAAATTTATCTGTTAGCAGACAGTTTCCTAAGACTACCTGGAAATTTAGTTACATTAAAATAAAACAGTAAGAACTCACGGATTACTTCCACTCTGGGCCAGCAAAGCTTCCTATGTTTTGAGAAATGTACCGTAAGAAGTGTCTCCTCACATATTACAGAATTAATCTGTGACATTTATTGTCCTAAGATATTCCTGGCATGAAAGCTTATATGGGTTAACCGAAAGAAAATGTTCATGTACAGAGAAAGTGTGATCTAAAACCTCATTAATTGCCCCCATCTTACTACAGACTTCTCCCTCACATAACCCCTCCATTGCTGACTATCTGGCTGCATTTTAAAAATAAAAATAAAAAATAAATAAAATAACTGGGATGTAGGGTTAACCATCAAGACTAACATTAATTATAATCAAGAACTTAGTCACAGCAGGTGTACCTCGGGCAAGAAAAAGAGGGGCTTCAGAAGGATGTATACAATGCTACTAATTTTTAAGTTGAAAACATATGGGGAAAAATGCTCTTGTCTTCATCTTTAGGAATCTTAGCAGCCTAACTTTACTTAAGGTACCTAGACATTAAAGTATAACGACTGGCCATCAAGTCCACTTCAGCTATCTGACCTCCTTTTACACTAAATAGATGCAGAAGTCAGTTACTAAGCTTTTCACTGCCTATTATTTGGTTATGTCCTGGAGCATTATCAAACTGTATTATGTGTATTGTTTTGGTTTTTTTTCCTTTAAGTTTCCAAAGACACTAGGCTCAAAAAACCCGAGCTGATTTAATGTATTATCCAGTCCAAAGCTTTTACAGTCCAATTACATATGTTAAACTATGAATTTAAATATCCCAAATTAAATATTATGTAGTATTACAGCACAGAACACCAAGTAATATTTTAATGGTAAAAAATAAGGGTTTTGAATTTTTTAAAGATAACCTTTTGACAGTTATGCTAGTCACCTCATAGGAAACTGACTTATGTATCATGTTGCTTCTTCAGCCATTGACTTCTGACTGCAACATATCGGAATATTCCTTTCCTGTTGGATAGTCATCATCTTATGCTTGAAAACCACTCAAAAGTTCTGTTATGTAATTTGTCTTACTTCATAAAATATTTATAAATAATTTTTACTATTACAGAAATTAAGATAATAAGTGTTTACTCACATTACCTTCTGTTTTTCAAACTATGACTCAGTGTTCAGTTCTAAAGAAATTCTCCTCACAATAGGGAAGAGTCATTGCAATCAAACACCATGGTAATTGTTGCCTAAGAGAAGACTGATGTTTCTCAAGACCTTCTAGTCTACCCCAAATCAAGGAAAAATATGTTTCTGGG